CTGACTTCTCTGACGACTCACGTATCTTTCGAAAGTTTTCGATAGAGTATAAGGTCCTACTGTATAAAATGCTTACTGTTAGATTCCTCGTGCAGAAGAGGGTTTYACTTCGGCCTGTTTTTAATCAAAGTTTACATAAGATTCTAGTTTCGCAAAGAGTGAAATGTTTACACACTACGGCGCCAACAAACACGAGAATCRTYCGTTCTTCATCGCAWCATCCTGATATCCCAATCCCTACCAACAAATCGTATGTGGAGTTTATCTTGGAACAYTGTGAAAAACAYGGAGATAAAGATGCCATTGTAAGTAATTGGTTCAATTCCAAGTTCATTTGTTGATAAGCAGGCGGAGTCACATCATGGTCTCTTCTTTTGAACCAACCCATTGTTTGAGATTGGCTTGCCTATATATTATATGGTCTACAGGATAAGTTATTAAGTGCTTAACTTAAAAAACTTAATAACTATTATCCTTTAGACCACATAATATCATAATAGGCAAGCCAAGYTCAAACCATGGGGATTTGTTTTGATTGTAATTTATATAGCGCGGTTAATTAATCCCTAATGAAACAGTAATGACAAAAGGTAAATTATACACCGTGAAAAAGATGAAAAATAGGCGGTCGTAAACCGCATGTGTCTACTGCCAATTTAGAAACGGATTGTTTAAAGGGGCACTTAGATGAAAACACCCTGATTTTAATATTTCCAACAGGAAATCTATAAATGTTAACGTTGTTGTACGTTGGACTACTGACATTATCGAGATGTAAGTCACACTGACCGAGAATAGTTTTAAGACAACTTCCATAGTCATTTACCACAGCTTCCATAGTAGTTTTTTTGCATAAAGAAAGACTCAGTGTCACAACAAACATGTGATCTCTGTAAAACAGCTGAGTTTTCATTTACCCGAAGGACTTCTTCAACGGGCTGACTAATCCCACAATAGGGCACAATTATCCTCAAAAGAGGGTTAATTATCCTCCGAAGAGGCTCAATCATCCTCTGAAGAGGCTCAATTATCCTCCGAAGAGGGTGATATATGGCATTAAACCCCATTTGTTTTCCCAAGGGCTTCTCATTGGTTGAGAAAGTTCATTGTTTGAAGCCCTGTTTGAAGTCAGGCAGCTTTGTTTTCGGCAAAAACATCGGCCTAAAATTGGAATAACACTTACAAAACCTTTCATCTTATTGTATATTAATACTACATGAAAGCTGTGATAAATGATATTGATAGATTTTATGAAAGCACTTTAATTACTTGAAGTCTCGAGCAGCGAAGAACGAAGACAGTCCAAGATGACAATCCTGCTTTTAAAAATGCGTCATCCCTACATCGGTTACAATTCGGATTGGTTCTGTAGTTTATCGATATTGAAGAATTCGAACGTGAGTCGCTTATCCCTGATTGGCTCCGAAGTTTAATGATTGGTTCCGAAGTTTATCCATTCATCAGTTTGGGCTTCCTGTGGTGTTACTGACGGACTTACTTACACGACTCGATAGCATAGTGGCTTCGCCTCTCTAGGAGGCAGTAGACACAAAAACTTACTGACGTTTCGGACGCTAGTCCTTCGTCGGAGTAGGACAAAGGACTAGCGTCCGAAACATCAGTAAGTTTTTTCATCTTTTTCACGGTGTATAATTTACCTTTTATCATTACTGTTTCATTAGAAACACCGACGCAGCTCACACTAGTTTTTAGCTAGTTACATCTTCTAATCCCTAATTAGGGGATTCATAAAATAAAAAAAATCCTTGAAAATTAATGCATCTATCAATATKAAGTGGGGTGGGGCGACCCCATGCAGGGGAATTGACATAATTCAATGCCCCCACTGTAGGGAATTTGACATGTCTGCCATCTTGAAAAAGCCAGAAAATACRATAAACATATGTACTAAGGGTATTTGACATTAGTTGTCCGGGGTTAGGGAATTAGGAAATTTCAAATTCAAAGTGTCAAATTTCCCTGGGGTTGCCTGTCCCCCCCCCCACCCCACCCTTGGGCTTAAGATTGATAGGTGCATAAGCACTGGGCATAAGAACTGTATTCAACTAATTAGGTTAGTAAATCATTCTTAAATTTCTATATAAAACATGATAAAAACAAATCCCCATTCTCTTGATCCCTAGAAGAASTCACATGTACATGCATATCCTAAAGTTGATCAATGAATTAACCCCTATTGTTTTACTTCCATTATCATTAAAGCGTGACCTGAGAAGTTGATGTGAATKTCGCATTTAATTTGCAACCTGGCATTTTAATGACCGTCAATCAAAGAACTACAATAAAAAAATGCAATATTTTGAAGGAGAAGGATATTTTGGACTGAATTTAAAGATTCTAGAGGATTAACATTTTTAATCCAGTCTAAAATCTCCCTGAAGATAATTTTTTAAAATTTTCTCAAAAAGGATGAATTTGTTCTCAGAAATCATTTAGCCCTCGGGCCAGATTACCCTTGTCCTTCCAAGATACCATGGCCAATCCCTGAATTGGGTGGAGGGGGGGGGGGGGGTGACGATGTTATGCATGATGCAATTTAGATTATCGCCCTTTATGATGCTTCTTTGCACCAAAAAGCCTCAAAGCTAAGGCTTGCACCACGTTTTGTGACCCTTTGAGTTTTTTTTGAAAAATGATGACCCACCCATGGCCAGCCAGCCCATTTATATCGGTGCCTTGAAAAGGTTAATGTACAACTTTCTTGTTGCACACAGATATTTCTTTTAAAACATTGCAATTGTATATTCTTTTGTTTTACTCCTCGGTCTCTTGTTCTAGGCTGATGCATTGACTGGTAAATCTTTCACATATAAAGATGTTAGTGATCTGGTAAAGAAGTGTGGATCAGCCTTCAAACGTATGGGAAAGAACCATAAAGATGTTGTTGCCCTCTACATGCCCAACTTGCCTGAGTATCCTATGGTATTTTATGGCATTCAAGCTGCTGGTGGGATTGTAACCACAGTAAANGGGGGGGGGGGGGTTATGTTAGGCATGATGCAATTTAGATTATTGTCCTTTGTAATGCTCCTTTGCACAAAAAAGCCTCAAAGCTAAGGCTTGCACAACTTTTTGTGACCCTCCCTTTGAATTTGCTTGAAAAATGATGACCCGCCCCAGTCGGCCCATTTATATAAGCACCTTGAAAAGGTTAATGTTACTTTCTTGTTGTACAACATGCATAGGCAGGTATTTCTTTTAAAACATTGCGATTGTATATTCCTTTGTTTTACTCCTTGGTCTCTTATTCCAGGCTGATGCATTGACTGGTAAATCTTTCACATATAAAGATGTTATTGATCTGGTAAAGAAGTGTGGATCAGCCTTCAAACGTATGGGGAAGAACCAGAAAGATGTTGTTGCCCTCTACATGCCCAACTTGCCTGAGTATCCTATGGTATTTTATGGCATTCAAGCTGCTGGTGGGATTGTAACCACAGTAAATCCRACATACACTGTAGATGAACTTGCTTATCATYTGCAAGATTCTGGCACCAAATATCTTGTGACAACTTCAGATTTCATGGCTAAGGCAAGGGAGGCTGCAGCAAAAGTGAAGCTTCCATCAGATAATGTTCTTGACATTGATACATTATGGAATCTTGTCCTTAGTGATGACGGATCTTATCTACCCAAACTTCCCACAACTGAGTCTCCAAGTGATGAAGTAATTTGTCTCCCATATTCTAGTGGAACAACTGGTGTAGCAAAAGGAGTAATGTTGACWAATTTCAATCTTATTTCGCATGCATTAATCCTTGGCAATRAGAAATTTATGCCYTGTGCACCCGATATGCCGCGGGCATTAGTCATGGCACTTCTGCCATTTTACCATGTTTATGGACTTGCTGTTACATTGGGAATGCACTTCTTCATTGGTTCAAAGGTGTTTTGTATGCAGAAATTTGATCCTGAGTTGTTTCTGAAGACGATTGAAGATCAACAGGTATTCAGTAGCTAGTTTTCTTGACGGCTCCTCATCTCTGTTCAGTTGCACAATTTCTCATCAAGTAAATCTTAATTTTCTTATGACCTTTTCAGATCACTGAATTGCCAATAGTCCCTCCAATTGCACTGTTTCTTGCCAAACATCCYATGGTAGAGAAATATGACCTGTCATCAGTCAATCTTGTCACAGTTGCTGCAGCACCTTTATCCAAAGAAATCGAAGAGTTATTATCAAAACGACTGCCAAATGTCAGGGTGATAAGACAAGGTATATATTGCAAGCATGAAATACATTTTGTTTATTCACAAGGGGGTGGATGTTGACTCCAGATCAACAGTTTGACTTCTCTTGTCTCCTGCTTCCAGGAGAGATAGGTCAAGGGCTATGGACTTTTTTGATAGTGTAAACAAAGGCAGACTTGGATTCATAAATTTGGAGAGTTTAAAAAGAGTAATAATTTTTTGCTGTGGGACCTGATGATGATGATGGTGGTGGTCAAGGGTGGATCCAGGGGGGCAAAGGGGGGCTGAAGCCCTCCCTTCAGCAGAAAAAACGATGCTTTTTTATATTGTTTTCCGTTGTGTTGACAGAAGAAACTCAATTAGCCCCCCCTAAACTCAATTAGCCCCCCCCCTAAAATTTTGGCTGGATCCGCCCTTGGTGGTGGTGGTGGTGATGATGATGATAATTATGATGATGGTAGTAGTAGTAGTGGTGGCTGTGCTGATGATGGTGATGATAATGGTGGTGGTGATGATTAAGATGATGGTGGTGGTGGTGGTGCTGATAGCTGCTCTTGATCGTTGTGGATGGTGATGATGACAATGATAATGCTAATGATGTTGTTGGTTGTGTTGCTGCTGCTGCTGCTGATAATGAAATGATGATGATGATGATAATGTTAACGATGGTGATGATCATGATAACTAATGGGTGTTTGAATGACAAACGCAGGTTTTGGTATGACAGAGACCACGGCTGCTTGTATCCTTAATCCATCAGATCCATCCCTTGTCAAAACTGGATCCGTTGGGCTTCTGCTTCCTAATCAAGAAGTTATGGTAAGTATTCACGGCAACATGGTGGTGGGATTTCTGTGGAAATTTTTGATGGTGTCGTAGGGAACCTGTTGTGGGGTTGGGATGGGGGGAGGGCGAGAAAGAAAACTGGGAGTTRTTATACAAAACATTGAAGGCATAGTGGCCCAGCAAGCATACCTCAACTTTCTTTTAGGTCAGTCYAGAAAGAAACCGTGCGGAGAAGGYAAATATCCACCTCAAAGTGGAGAACCAACAAACTCGATCTGCTCTCATGTGACGGCGATTCCAACCAGGAATTGAACGCGAGACACTAGAGGGGAAAGGATAAGGAACTAAACTGGTACCCCATACTCTTGATCCCCCTTGAGTWCTAAGGCTTCCCCACATCGCAAACCCGCATGAGTAGTTCTGTCACTGATTTGATCATTTTTGTACATACTAGGTAAAGGACCTGGAGACAGGAAAACCRCTTGGACCAGGAGAGCCTGGAGAAATATGTGTAAGGGGACCCACCATTACCAAAGGTATATTGGAGCGCTTTTCTGAATTCTCCAGGCAAGGCCAGTATTGGCCGTAAATTAAATCAGGGACGTCGGAGACGGGGGTCTAGTGGGCTATAGGCTCCACCGTTTCTACACTAAACATGCACATCTCCTTGCACGTTTTACATCACTTACATATGAATATAATCTGTATTGTAGCGCCCCCCCTTAAAAATAACGCTCCGACGTCCCTGTAAATTCAAAGCGCAAAGATTTCCAAGCCGGAACGACGTCACTCTCCACCGAACTCGGCAAAGCATCCCCCACTCCATTCCTTCAAATTAAATGCTAATAGGAAGGACATGGTCACGCGCATGAATGTAACCGTCAGCGGTCTGACTAAGCAGTATTTAGATTGACAGAGGAAAGAAAGTAGACAGAACTGTTCATGCATGGTAGCAGGAATATAGGATCAGCTCCAATTTGTTTCAGTAACTATCGTAGTTTAGGCCGATATCTTAAAACAAAAACTTGTGGTAACGTTCACTAAAAACACGTTTGCGTCCTTGCCAAATAAGCCTTTTCATAGTTTAAGAATCGATTCCACTGCGCATGCGATTTTATCCCGAATTTCTCATCTTCTTTTGTCTAAACATTCTTTTTGTTCTCAATTAAACAAAAGAAGGTGAGAAATTCGGGATAAAATCGCATGCGCAGTGGAATCGATTCTCAAACTATGAAAAGGCTTATTCATAATTGAGACCACCGAGTACATACAGGTTCACTCAATACTTACCTTTTTCATTGACGATAACAGATATGATGGCCGTCGATCACTGAAAACAAATCTGTACCATTGTCTTTCCCAGGTTACCTAAACAAACCAGATCAAACCGCACTGACTATCGACAAAGATGGTTGGCTTCACACGGGAGACATTGGTTATTACGATGAAGATGAGTATTTCTACATCGTTGACAGACTCAARGAACTGATCAAATACAAAGGCTTCCAGGTAAAGAGTGACTGGTAATGCAAGTTCAGTTTTTCTCCAAGTAAAAACATTACAGCACAAGGCCGTAACCAAAACTTTTACAGGGAGGGAGCACATCGAATAAAATCGGACCATTGATCGTTTTTTTATTACCAACTCAGTGGCGTAACTAGGGATCTTGCAGGGAGGTGCACAGGCAATAATTTGCAGAACCATAAAAAATAAAAAAATAAATAAAAAAGGTAACCAAAAAAAGCAGAACCAAAAAAAAGGAGATGGATGAGCGGACCTTAAGCTTTTGTGTGTGTGTGTTGGGGGGGGAAGGGTGCATGTGCACCCTGTGCTCCCCCCTGGTTACAGCCCTGCAGCAAGAAGTTATTAGGGACCTTAAGCTGCAGGATGGCAACGTGGGCGACAACGTCGGCGAAATTGAGGCGCTTCAACCTTCTATTGTATCGTCATTTCGTGTTTACCTAGCATTTTACTCAATAAGCATCCCCGTTTTAGAGCGAAATGACGTCTTTTGGGAGCGCTTTACTTATAACGAAAATCAGCAAAGATAAGCTTTTGGCGTAGCCGTTCTCTTTAGTACATAAAAATAGGACATTTCACGTCTTACTTTTAGCACAAGACGGCAATGATGCACAGTATTTCGTACATTCCAACGAGTATCTATTGAATAGCGCAATTAGTGCTATTGTATGCTTGCCGTCGTCGTCGTCGTTGCCGTCTTGCAGGTCCCTATTATGGGGAAACGGCGAACTAGCAGAAAGAAGTAACGAATAAACAAGAAATCTTGTCATGATTCAACTTGGCTACAATAGCGGGAATTTTGGACGGGAATGTAAGCTCTGATAAGGGAAACTAGCGCCAATGCTNATTCAACTTGGCTACAATAGCGGGAATTTTGGACGGGAATGTAAGCTCTGATAAGGGAAACTAGCGCCAATGCTTTCACGAAAAGTAATGATGTATAATGTCATGTTTTTTCGTTCCATAGATGTAACTGTTAATAGTGGCTTGGGGTGGTTTCAGATTTTTTAGGAGGGAGTTGTCATTTCTGATCACAGACTCAAGCACCAATAACGCGCAGTAGATATCAGCTTATTTAGGGGAGAGTCACGCACACCTCTCCCCTAGATCGTCCCCTGTTGCTGAACCTATCGCAAAATGTAACCACATCCATTTAGAGGATTTCGTGATTAGTGAACAGCCAAACATCACTATCTCATAYGCAGACAACATTTGTCTTATCAATGGAATGGAAAAAAGTGTGCATGCTTATTTTTTCCTGGATAGGCAATAGGCGATAGGAGATAGGTCATTCTAAGACCCAAGAATAGCTGGAATGACTTGTGTTTCTCCTTCTTATTCTCGTCAAGAACATGTACCTTAGTGTAGAGGCTGATTTAATGCTCTTGGTAACAAACAAAGCCATTTGAATGTTGGAATAACTTAACACCTATCGCCTTTGGCAATGACAACGTTTATTGAGATAGGTGTATATATCTTTYGTTTTCCTTCCGACAGGTTCCACCAGCAGAATTAGAAGCTGTACTCATATCACACCCTCTCATCACAGATGCCGCAGTCATTGGGATCCCCGATGAAGAGGCGGGGGAGGTCCCCAGAGCATTCGTAGTGACTAAGGGTGGGATCACTGCAGAAGAGGTCGATCAGTATGTCGCTGATAAGGTGGCACCACACAAGARACTGAGGGGTGGGGTGGTGTTTTTAGAAAGCATTCCAAAAGCAGCAAGTGGAAAAATATTGAGAAGAGAATTACGAGATAATAATTCATAAATATTTAATATTTATCCAAGGGATGTCCCATTAATGCAAGCCCACCCACTGATCACTGATGCATGCTCCAGGGTGATGGGTGAGGGGGAGGGGAGGGGGAAGACAAATTTTTGTACTCTTTTTTATTCATGTGAACAATTATATAGCATGGACCAATCAGCAGCACAAAATTGAAAGTGCTTTGTGGGTCAAGCATTCGAGACATTGCATCTAGAAAGCAATTGCACATTTTTCTACAAGATTGAACTGGGAAAAAAATCCCATTATTGCGTCTCAGTATCGATCACAAGTTGGCACCCACAACATGATACTTTAGCAGCAGTAAGGCGGACACGCGGAGCGCCGGCATTACTAAAAAAAAATACAANCACTTACACTGCATTTGTAAAATATTTCTTATACACCAGTACTCAAACATACACAAGAAAATAAAGTAAAAATTATTTACATGTATTAGTCTATGTCAGATGTACACCAATATTGTTTAGTTGAGCAAAATGAGATTATGAAACTTT